CACTAAGTAACCATGGTCTGAAGATCGCAGTTGCTGGGTTTAACTCACCTAAGCCCCTGCGATAAACCCACTACTTAGACCCCTAAAGAGTAACCAAAATCATAAATTTCAATGAAAGGCGTCCTTTGGGAAAAATAAATCTGAAGTTTCTGAAAGAGCCATACGCGATCATCAAAAGAGCCATATATGGCACGCGAGCCATGTGTTGCCGACCCCGATGATTAATTCAGTCGTTGGAGGGAGTCTCCTGGGGCAGTTTATCGTGTTGTTACACCCCAGAGGAGAAAGCAGGCAATAGCGCCATTTCGAACCCGTCTGCTGCCGCCGATGTGTTCTTGAGCACTTACACAATCGCCAGCGACCAGCAGAAAGCTTTGGACCGCAACGAACACGGCCGTAGTTCGTTTGGCCACGCCGGTGAACATTCTGTAAAACGGAAAAACTCACGAGATGCAATCTGTACACGTCATTCCCATCTGAAGTGGGCTGTGAATAGTGACCCCTACCGGTCACCGTTGCTTCACGCCAGAGAAACACCTGACAGGAGTACAACGAACGTGCAGAAACACCGCTGACGATGTCGCGGTCAAGACGCTCTCTGCAATACGACGACACTTAGGCGAACGGCCTATAACGGTCAGTTTGCTGGCCCCGCCGATTTTTCCCTAGAAGCCCCCAACACAAAACGCAATGAAGACTGGTTTTCAAGAGCAAACGTATATCTGAGAATTTACGATGACCCTGACTCTGTGAGCAAATTGCACTATTCCTCGATTCCGACGCATCGTCGAACTGCTTTTAGTCAAAAACGTGGACAAACCGGTGCATCTGTAGGTAAGCGAAGGTCATTTCAACTCTTAATTACACGCCATTACACCAGCTTCGCCTCTTCTCGTATAGAAGGCGGCTGTTTCATTCAACCTTCCTACTTCATCACTGAACAGAGGGAAAACTACTCTGGTAACATCTGAATCAACAAGCAAATCAAACTGGATTGACAATAAGCACATGTACAAGTTGAGGATAAAAATAACTGTGCGATAATAAGGTCATTTGAGCGTCAGTGGTCGGGGCTTCTGTTACTGTTGGTCAACTTTTGTGCGGAGGAGGGGGAGGGGCTGACCAGCACAGCCGGGAAGAGTTGCCAGTAGAGCACAGATTAGTGCGTACGTACTCTCAGTTTCCACTGCTAGCCTCAAATAGCAGACGTCGGAATCGAGTGACTAGTTTGGCAGGAGGTAGGGGTTCGCCCTTGGCGTTGAGGAAGGTGTCAAAGGAGAAGAAGGAGCTGGGTAGGGCTGCGTTGGTACTCGCGGCCCGCGGGTTGACTGCCGGCAGGAAGCGGAGAGCGACACCTGTGAAAAGATGGCCAGACACAGACATTGTACACGCTAAGCTGAGGGAGGGGGGGGGAGGGCAGGTAGTGTGGGCAAAAAGACTACAGCACGGAACCTGCCTGACTACCAGCACAGCCCTCTCCTACCTCTGTCGAACGTTTCGAACCCAAGTTGGTCTCACAGTTAACTGGCAAGTCTGGTACAGCAATAGATACGGCCTCTGTTGAGTGGGTGCGGTCGTGACTTCCGCGTAAATTCAGTTGAAGTGAAACAAGCTTTAATTGTATCTCTCTCTCTCTTTCCAAGTCGTCCCCATGACAAGCTAAAAATGGAGACGGCCGAAGATGGACATTGGCGAGTCGACTGAAAGCTAAACAAGTCTTCTACGCACGCAATACACTGAGCCTCATTCAGGTCTCATGTAATGAGGCTGTCCTCGATAATGTCATGAAAACACCTTTCTACTTGGCATTTTTTAAATAAAGAATTTGTTTGGAATAGATCAGATTCCAGAACTCTCAGACTAGAGAAAAAACCACCCAGTTAGAGAGTAGTGACCTCTGTAGTCGTCATACCCCGACTCTGAACTGCTAAGTACTATGACATCGCAATGCAAACGACGGCGATGAGGGTGCGCACCCCGTGAGAATGTTCTAAAACAATCCCGAAAGTCGTTAGTGCATACCAATTTGAGCGACAGGAACACGCGAGAGACTGTTGACTGAAATACGAAAGCGAGCTAGGCTCCTTCGTAGGCCCACGAGGTGGGACAGCCTGAACCTGCTGTACATGCATGCATTTCCCAAAGTATGACAACTAATGCAGCATCGAAAAAAGACAGAATTCCCTTACCCGAGGACATTGATGGCTCCATCCAAAGCTGACCGAAGTAGATTTCCACTATTGCCGCAACGTGATCGCCTGAAATGCTAAAAAAAGGGAGAAGCGGGAGATAAAATCCTAGTCTGACCCAGTATTGCTTAGTCTACAGGCACGAGGTAGTGGAAGTAATTGGGAAAATGGTTACGCAGGTGATGGCTGTGTGTGCGTAGATCAGCAGGGGTTGTACCGCTA